ACGCAGCTATGTTTTGGCAGAATAGAGCTATTTTGGATTCGATTGCAATTAAGATTTTTTTTTTGGCCTTATTGTTGGTTTAAAATGCAGGAAAATGTTAGTGAAGGCAGAAACATATATGAGCTGCTTTAGATGGATTTTTTGAAGATAAAAACTGACATCTGGTGAGTAAAGGAAGCAGTATAACAGACAGCCGTTTACTGTAACTACTGCAGCTGGGTTTAAATATCATGAACATTTAAGGGAAGATGAAAAATGAAAATATATGCCAACATGTTTCCAGTGTTTAATACTGCTGTTTATACTTGGGGAAAAGATGAGACCTTTAAATATAGAAAAGAAGAAATAATACTGCATTGAGAGGTTACATTAACCAAGTATTTTCCTGTTACTGATGGAATATTTTTTAATGATGTTGGAAAAATCTGAAGGCCAACTGCCATTTTTCACAGATAAGAAGACAGAGGGTATTTTACCCCAACTACCAGTAAGGATACTAAAAATCCCAATAACTGCTATGGTGTTGATAAATGAGGAACTGATGCGGCGGATGAAGGACAACTGAGACCGTACTCAAAGCATCACGTTATCTGGGAGCTGACAGGGTGTTGAACAGCCACGGACGGAGGCCACGGAGGGCCATCTGTGACGCGCCACAGAGAGGGTGCGGCTGCAGGAGGAACACATGCTGTGAATTCCTCCCAATGACGTGAATGCTTCAGGATTGGGAAAACTGACGTTCAAAGAAACGTCCTGAGAGAAATGTTGCCCGACTTCAAAACTTTGGCTGAAGTGGAGCTGGCAAGCCGAGTCTCCAATGTGTTAGCAGAGCGCGGGTTCAGCTTTCAGATCTAAATTGTAAAATGGGCGTGAGAAATTATCTGTGTGATGACGCAACACCTACTGACAATCGCCTCTGCGGCAGGCTAGGTTGCAGCAGGTCAGCTGAGTTCAATATAGGTAGCCAAACTTTTTGTAAATGCGTTGTTCACATGTCAATAGTGATTGTCTAATTTTTGCAAAATTGCAGTGTTCATTTTAGCTTGTTTATGCACAAACGCTGCAGTGTTTTAGTGGCCTCCGCTGTCACTGCTAGAAAAATATGTTGACATGAAAAGTGGTTGCGCATTAGCTTGTTCCATATATTAATTATTAAAAAATAAAATGAAATTGGACGAATTAAATAGACTATGTCTTATTAAAAAAATGAAAGCTAAATTGACAGGTAATAATAAACTATGACAAAAATTTTATGACACTGTCAAAATGACGGACAACGAAAAGGTCTAGTGTGACCTCTGATTGCATTATGTCTCAACCTAATAAAAGTGTTAAATGAATATGAATTTAGATCTTTGAGGTCTGAATCCATGTCAGAATTGTTATTCTACTAATATGTTATTTTATTTTCTTAAAATAGTTTCACATTAAACTCAGATCTCCTACAGTTTCCTCATTTAAAATTAAAAGAAAACGGCCTATGTTCCATTTCCCCTCCCCTCTCCCTCTTTGTTTTGACATTTGCCCACTCATCTCCATTTTCAAATACCTCAACTGTCTCTTGGTGGTGTCGTCACGTCGTCTACACTGCCCTCTCCTCCTCAGTGCTACTAGGCATTGTGGGTAAACAGTAAGATTAGCCAGTCAATCTTCTCTCTGGAATAGAGGTAGTAGTGGTGGTAGTGAGGGAGGGAGGACGTGGTCAGGGAAGAGAGGAGGAGAAACAGAGCGATGGGGGGCAGACGTGTGTTGGGTGAAGGAGAGAGGAAGAGATATAGTAAAAGAGGGTGGGTGAAAGGGGTGGTGGGTGGGGGAGAATGCACATTGAGAACGAACAGACGGGAGGAAAGATGGAGATGTGGGGGTGTCACAAAGAAACAATAAGCTGCAAGAAAACGATGCGAACAGGCAGGAGCTGCACAAACTGAGACAGAGAGAGAAAGAAGAGTGGGAATGGAGTGTGAGAGAAGTGACAAACGTAGGCAGATGTGTAAAGAAACCGTGAAGCGCAACACTAAGAACCCAGTGGAAGAGTGTGATGATGCATTGAGAAGTGGAGCCTTAACACTGCAGTTGGCAGCAGATTTAATATCCGTGTTCATTTTGGAACTTGATTTTAATTTAGTTGTAGTCAAATCTTAATAATTCTGGTCTTTTCATTGTCCTGCATTTTTAACGTTTATATCATCTATGTACTTTGTGGCTACAGCTGTTGCCATTTTTTGTTGTGTACGGCTACCATGGTTACAGGTGTTGTTCCCGTCTATTGCAAGGTTAGTGGACAAGGCTGTTTATTTGCTCACTCACCGTCCATGTCCCTCTGCTGCAGTGAGCGATTCAGAAGCTAGAGTCACTCGCATTTTCGCTGAAACACTGGGTTTAGCTCGAAAGGAGAAGCTACATCATCGGAGAGTTTTAGATCTTAAGCGAACATCCAGAGAAAGATCGAGATGTAGACATTAATTATTCCACCCACATCCATCGTACTTAATGATAAATTACTTTACTGGTAATGTCAAACAACACCGAAAATTACTACTCATACATGAACAAAACACAATATTTTCATCACATTAATCACAAATACATCATGATCAGCATCAGTTTGTGTATCTGCAGTGTTTTGTCTTCTTCTATTCTTTTTACTATTTGGCTTCTCATCTTGTGAACCGTAAGATCTGACTCGTCACCACTTGGAGGTTCCTGATCTCCTGGTTGGGAACAACTGTATTAAAGCTTCTGAACTGAAACTTTCTTGAAATGTAGGACCAAATAATTCAGAAATCCCAATGTCTGCAATCCTCATGGTGCAACTTGGCTTTAGAATTGATTGAAAAAATTAACACCGGTAATCAACCCAGGTAATTAACTGCTGTACAACACGATGTCTGAATAATGTAAAACATGTTGTTTGATTGTCTGTTAATGCAGGAGATAACACGCATGCCAGTTAAAATTAATGGAACTAAGCAGAAGACATGCTAAGTCTGTAACACAATAAGAGAGGACAAAATTAATTCTTGGTTCCAATTACATCTGTTATTGAAAGTATACAATTCATAAAGTATGCCTTATCTTTAACTTCACATCAATAAACACCAAATAAAATAACATCTGTCAATAATTTTATAGATGCCTTACAATAAAGTGAGGTGCTTACAACCTCAAATGTAAGATTCTGTATAAATTCTCTATATAGCCATTTAAGCCTTATTTAAAAGCCTCTATACGTAAATCAATTAAAACACATCAAACTATTGATCTGAATCTGTATATGAGGGAAAATTCCCTGTGCCTGAACTCTGTAAGCCTGCCTCTTCACTGAATTAAATGCTAATGCAATGATAAGCCCAAAACCTAACATGAACTAAACTATCAAATTACTCTTAAGATAACTGTCCAACAGCCTCTGCATTACTTTTATGACCAGCATCAGTGTCAGGTGGAAAAACACTCGACCGTAACCATAAACTTTTGTTGCATCTTTACACCCAGCAGAGAGAACTGTGATAACACCTCCTAAATACTGGCTTGCAATCTAACAATCCTCAAAAGACTAAGTAGTTCTTTTGAGGTGATTTTTTTTTCCCCTTATGTTGCCTCTAATGGGTTCATTCTTTTGAAACCAGCAGAAAGGACCTGTGCTCAGAGACGTGCCTCAGGGGGCTGGAGCCAAAATTAAACTGGCCTCGTCTCCTTCGCTTTATCACTGTTGGGAGCAGACAAAAAGCAACCGTGCGGCACACCCGTCTACTTTACACACACATCAGGGTTAACTGGCACGCTGGCACTGAGGGTGTGACCCTCCTTTAGTGGGCTGGTTGCCAGCGTTGCCCCATGTCCAAAAATACACTCACACACACACGCACACACACAAATCCCTGGCTTAGCCTCGGCCCAGTGCTGGGATTACTGGATTAGAACTCTATTCCATTATCTCCCCGCGCTATACAGTGAACACACACACACACACCGTCTTGGCCACAGAGGACAGGCTGAAGACAGAAACACAGTGTCAATCACAGCACATGACACATACAACAAGATACAGTTACAAATTCTCCTCTCAGTCTAGGAAAAAGAAAATGTCTTTAGATTACTATTAGGCAGTACACTGGAGTTGTTTTTTTTGTTTTGTTTTTTTTAGGATTCCATCTGCAAAACATGTGGATCTGAGAACCTGTGGCAACAAGCAGCCACCCCACTGAAATGTGCTTGGGTGGGACGCTGAACCCCTCAAACTCCAGAGAGACTGCTCCATTGCTGACCCCAACCTCTAACCTCTGACGTCCATGCACAGCAAGACATAAGGAAAGCAGAATTTCTCCTTCAGTGCTCAAAGATCTTAAATAATTCCTAAAGGATGCACACATACATAAAATTAATAAATGCAACTTTTTTTATAATAAAAATATTGCCTCTCACTGCAACTACAACAGCCTGTTGTGTATCACGGTGCACTGCATAAAGTCCACTTACTGTACAATATAGTTTTCAGGAAGTTTAAGTTTTCTGCTTTCCCTTAAGTAATGTGATGACAAACTATTTATTCTGGAGTTCTGGGTTTTGCAGATGTCACCTTGATTCTTTAAAAAATTGTGAGGAGTATTTTTTTCCACTATTCTTACAGTTTAGAGACCAAACAACTAATCAGGTACTCATAAAATATTCTATAGATGAATCTATGGCAAATATAGATTTTAATATGATTATTCATACATCCAAAATAGCTTGTGGCCAGCTGCTATCTCTATTTGTAGAGAAATATTCAAACCTAATGGCTAGATCGCTGTCCAAAAGGTCCTTGAAGTATTCAGCATCCTTAACCTGCTCTTGTGGACGCCATTTCAAGATTCTCCTACACACTTGACTTTGTATAAACATCTCGTGTTTATGTGTGTTACAAGCAGACATACAAGGGTTTGAACAGTGTGTAAAGACAGTGATTGCTTTTCTGTTATAAATTTTTTTTTTTAATGCGGAGCCCGTCAACCACTTACATAGTCATGGAAGGCCTTGGCCTCACTGGAGTGCTCGCATGTCTCCCTTCGGTCTGGAGCTGCACAATACAAATCCCAGAATACACTGAGAGGGAAGAGAAGAGGTCTAAGGTTACTAAACAGAGTAATACAAGCAAATGTGTAACAGCTATTCATATCCCATTCACACACTCTTACTATCTCTTAAGCTCTTAAGCTGCCTCTTACACACTTGAGCATCATTGTAGGAGAGACACAATGCCAGTGTCGCCCCCTCAATCAACCTCTCACTCACTCAGAGCACACACACTTGCATTAAAATACTTGCATGGACTTTTTATTGATCGCACCCATTTCTTCACCCTAAACTTTGACTGATGCGCTGACTTAACCTGAAGGATAAACTCAGACAACAACAGCGGCCACACACACAGACACACATAAACAGTTTCCATTCAAGCCTCTGTTTGAGTCTATTTGGACATTCTGAGTGGAAATCCACAAACACCTAATGACAGTACTGACTGCCTATGTGCTACCCATCTACAGAGTCTAACTGAATCAGTGTTTGTGCATCGATTTAGTGGAAATTCTATAAACTGAGTGAAAAAAGAGACACGGCTTACACTAAACTAATCGGGTGGCCACTTCACATGTTCTGGCAATCTGTGCTGCTCACAGACACGTTGAATCCCAAACATCTGGAACTTTCCATACACTTCATAAGACAGTCAAATCTGGGAGGTTTAGGCCAGGGAGCTGCAGTCGTGAGCTATCTGACCACATTAAGTTAATTCATGGGATGTTTTGATCTTCAAAGTTTAATTATACTCTCAATCAACCTCCTTCCATGAGAAGGTCAGAGTGCATGGCTAGCTACAAAGGAGCACACATGATAAGGATTGTTAGTGTATTAAACCTAAACCTTTAAGTCAGAAAAGTTCCCTATTTTACTACAAGCCTACACAAGGAGGAACAAACAGAGGAGAAATCTTTTTTTATCCTGACTTGTTTGCCCATAGTTAAAAGACGAAGTGTGTGTCGCTACTTTATGAAATTTCCTAAGTGTAAACTTACACATACATGACAAATAATTTTATACTTGTGATTATTCTGTTATATTTCTTAAGTCCTTAACTGAACAAGAGCAAAGTTACTCTTTAGATTTATCCAGGCTTATATGCTTTCAAATTATTATTCTGTTCCTTCATTTTCTTGTTATTAAAACATGTACTTGGTCTCATATTGCTGATGGTGCTCTATAAGCCTGATGTTCATTCTTCTGACTCAGCAGAGCCACCCCCTGAGGGTAAAAGTTACACTGTACTCTTAAAAACCATTTAACATTTAAGGGTATATTTACAAGTCTGTACACACAGGTTTTTAAATATATGTGCTTTTATAATATGTGCAGTATTAATTTCAGTGCTGGGTCCTTCAGCAGCACAGTGGATCTAGTCTAAAAATGTTGAATATTTGCTCAAATGTAAGGTGCTTTGGTGAGTTTTTTCTTTTATTTGATTTATAAGATAAAGCTGTGTTCTATATTTCTCTTAAATATGAACAGATTTTATGAAAATGCTGCTACGGGCTAATTATTTGGCTACCAACTCCACGCTGATCCAAAATTTTAAAATGAAAGTATATTTTCAATATCTATTCTTAAAGACTTAAATCCTTGGTAGTAACATGTGGGCTTGGAGTCTCATAGGCAGGGTGGGGAAGCCAGAAAGCTTTAAGAGATCTACTAACATATAGTAGACTCTGGTTGTTTCGCAGCGTTTGCTGACAACTGAAAAAACCGAAAATATCCCCGGCCAAAACTACTGTATTACTGACATAAAATTAGCTAAATGTGGTTTTTAAGATCCCATCTGTTTGGACTGATAAAAGACTAACCACAGAACCACAAATTATTCCTCAGTGATAAAAAAAAAAAATGCATTTGTCAACTGGGTCCCGAGGAAGCTGCATCTTATATCATTAATACACTTAAAACGAGTTGGCTTGGGTTGTAAAATGTTGTAGTTGGTATGGGGAGAAATCGGGTTAGCGAACTGCATGTAAACATTAGTTTTACAGTAAAGCATTTGTTTTCTATGCAACGTGTCTGTTTTCCTGATCTCTCCCAACAGCCCAGGTTCTTGTGCGAACGGGAGCCATGGGTAACAGCGACGTCCATAAACAAGTGAAACCAGTAATCAGTGCTTACTGACCCTAAAGGTCAAATCTTAGCTAGGGGCAAAAATGACAGGAGGGCATCAGAGGGAGAAATGACACAAAGGAAGCTGGAATGCAACGGGTTAATCTGCTAACAGCCCCTCTCCCACGTGAACAAAGAAGAAAAGCGGGAGGTGGGGGGCACACAAAGGGTGACGAGAGGGTGAGGAGGGGGAGGGGAGTATAGATGGAGGGAGTCCTTTCCCTAACCATCTGGACCTATTGTTTCAAGACGGGGGGGTGAAGGATGGGGAACTGAAGGAGGGGAGAGGGTAGAAGATAGGGAGGGAGGGGTCATGCCCTCTGTGAGCCTGGCCATCCCCAAGGCTGAAACTCTCAGACCTCCTACCTTTAACCATGAATGAGGATAATTGACCAAAATACATCAAAATGAGCTATTTTTCCCATTTATTTGAATACAAGAACGTTTATGTATTTGTTTAATATATTCAAAACCGACTTATGACTCCCATGAAAATGCCAATGAAGCTACTGTTCGTGTATATAAGAGCAGTGCATCAATGACCTCTGTAGGGTCGGGATGGCCACCAGAGTCACAAACACAGAATGCACAGCAACCGTTTGAGAAATGTGGTGTAAAATCTGTTTACACACACAACCAAATAACATGTAAAAGCTTCTGTAAACAAATAAGCAAAACTTACCACCACCACGAATGGAGGAATCCAGGGGGCTCCCCTAATGTGATGTTCTTCTCCCATCGAATCTGGAGGAGAGGAGAGAAGTCGAGTCACTTGTGGCAGTTAAAGAGAGAGGATTATGTCTGTAGGTCCAGAGGTTAAGAACATATCAGTTCATCTCAAACTGTCTATGGCCACATGTCGATTTCCATCTTCCTGACTGTCCTTCCTCTGTCATGTCTCTGTCCTGTTCCCCTTTTTACATGTGAAGTACACTTGTGATTACAGGGAATTATTCAGTCATTCATTGTTAGCCATTATGAACCCAGAAGGGCTGTTGGGAGGCTTGTACATATACTGACAACACTGTGCATAGATAAATCTACAATGTCCACAAACAACTACATCTGTTGGTTGTACACCAAGACTCACCATGGTAGACAATGAGCATGATCAGGTGTAACTTTAACAGATCGAATAGAATAGATATAAAAAATTGATGGAAAACCTCGTGCTCTGTAATCATGTTTGGCATGTTTGCACTGACAATACATGTCTAAAAGTTGCTGTAAACATCTATAGCAGGGATATAAAGACAGATTTACTAACGAATAAAGACGTTTCACATTCACAAATAAATATTAAGGTCCATGTTTTAAGTGACGTGTTTGATGTCCTTGCTTTAGATTTAAAAAACCCAGGAACTCTTTCACCCAAAGTCCAACACCCAGAGACTGAACACCAGCCTGAAAGAGGGCGGATGGGGCCTGGTGAGTGTCAAGGCCACTGTCCTGGGTGAAACCCAGAGACGCGCTGCTGAGAAAATGCCTCAGACAGCAACAGACAGGGACCGAAGACCAACCAGTGGAAGATGAGGATCTGCATGGGATGTACCACCAGCAGATAACTTAGGTGGCTGAGAATGGGAAATCCTACCAGTGGCTGGAAAAGGCTGGCCTATCAGACGACACTGAGGCGCTGATCATAACAGCACAGGAACAGGCACCAAGTACCAAATCAATCTACAATCCAGACAGGACCCCAGGTGCAGACTGTGCAAGAGAGAGAGGCCTCAAAGACAGTCCAACACATAGTGGCAGGATGTAAAATGAAGGCAGGAACAGCATACATTGAACCGCACAACCAAGTGGCTGACAATGTGTACAGAAACATCTTTGCCAAGTATGAACTTGACCCTCCCAGGTCCAGATGGGAGACTCCTCAGAAGGTCAGGGAGAATAACAGTCCTGTGGGACTTCCAGATCCAGACAGGAGGGAAGGTACTGGGCAACCAACCAGACATTGTGGTAGTAGACAAGGAACAGAAGGAGGTAGTGGCGATAGACAAAGCAGTTACAAGTGACAGCAACATCGATTAGGAGCATGAGAAGCTGGAGAAGTAGCAGGGCCTGAAAGAGGAGCTGGAGAGGATGTGGAAGATGAAGGTCAAAGTGGTACCAGTGGTGGAAGGAGTACTCGGAGCTGTGACTCCTAAACTGGAAGAATGGTTCCAAGAGATGCCAGGAACATCAGCAAAGCTTTCTGTCCAGAAGAGTACAGCGCTAAGTACAGCTAAGATACTGCGCAGAACCTTCAAACTCCCAGGCGTCTGGTAGAGGGCCCGAGGTTGACTGGCTAAAGTTTGAGTTATGAATGTCATCTTACCTCGGACAGGAAAGTCTGTGCAGACTTCTGTGCTCCCACATGTAGTAGGTACTCGTAGACATATAATGCTAACCTGCAAAACAGAGGAGAAAAAAATGACAGTAACCAAATTTTGTTTCCTCATTTCTCAACAATAATGTAAATTCACACACTCTGCAGTTTAAGATGATATTTTTGGATGGGGTCCAACTTTCTGCAAACATACCACAAATAAGCACTGAAAAGAAAACCTACAAAGTGACTAGAAACCACAGAAAGGGGCAAGATGGCCATCTCCCAGTACGGAGCGTGAATGAGTGGAGATTTTTTTTTTTATTATTCAGTACATAACCTATTAAACAATTAATAAATAAAGAAAGGTTAAGTTTAGTTTTTCTTTATTGAATTTTTCCCCCCATTTAGTAAAAACAATGGCTGCATAAAAAAATTCAAAATAAATTCCCATCACTATTCTGAATGCTGTACACAAGTCAGTGCAGTCTCAAGTCTTGTGTGACCAAGTCAGCTTTGTTCAGCACTGTTACCCTTGCTTCGACAGTTCCTGGTTGTTCATAGAGTACCACCTCAGCAGCAAAGAATTTCTGGGGGACAGAAGCTTGGACACAGAAACTAAAATTGGCTCTAGGCTCTTGTGGTTAAAATGGAAGTAAAGCTTCTGAGAACCTCTAAAAGGTTCCCGCATTTCTGGAAAACTTCCTGCAGTGGAGAAGGATCGTATCAATCGTATCATCCCAGCAACACCTCTGTAACCTATACAATTTTTCCACCGCTGCCTTTGCACATCTAGTATCTGAAGTCCTCAAATCACAACAGAAGCAAAAGAACACAACCTGTGTGAAAACATTTTGACTCAATGACCCACATAACGGACAGAAACGGCTACATACAACAAGCATCCCGCAATCGCCAGCAATATTTTAAAAGCTCCTAAGACTTTTCAGTCATTGCTGTCCTGAAGCCAGTCACACTTGAAAACTGTGATCCACCAGGGTCTGTTAACAGACACAAGAACCATGCTGATGCTGTGGAGTGGGAAATTCCCAGTGGCCCCATATTGTACTCAGAACTCCTTCACTTAATGCTGTTTAATAGGCCGTTAATGGACCATCAATTGACCAGCAGCGTGGATATGACAGTGCCCCGTGTGCCCGGCACTGACAACCCTCTGACAGGCCAATAAGATCCTAATGAGAGGGACAGTAGCTCAATGTCACAGTTGCCATCATTACTCAGTGAAGTGATCAATGAAACATGGTTTTGAGATAATCAGGCTTGTGTTTAACCACTAAGAGGCTTTTCCCTTGTACTTGGGCTGCACGATTCTGGGTAAAATATGAATTGTGATTTTCTCTCATGATTCTTGACCAGTGAAATGCTCTCTTTCTCTCCTGTTTGTGTGTGTTCATCACCTATAGCTAGATGTATCCTGTGGTCCAAACACTGTATCCTCATCCAAATATTCAGGGAGGCTACTGAACATTGGATCCACTGCCTATAGTCATGCACATTAGCTTTTCCTCCCCCAAATGCAAACTGGTAAAACCCACCTTCAGTTCATAACATTTTTAAACTTCACCATATTGTGTTTTGTGGTGACGTGTTACACTAGGAGCTGAAAAGCACTGTTTGTACACTACGTCTATGACTGTCATCGTCATCCCTGCAAGTTGGTTTTGTATCAGTCTTCTCTTCCTCTGTACAGCTCATCACATGGTGTAATGCGTTCCTTTTATTGGTTAAAACAGCCTAGCGAGGAAAAGGAAGCGCCTGGCGTCAGCTTGTGCTCCAAGATGTTGTGAGGGACATTTTTCACAGTTTTCTGATATTTTCGTTCCTTAGCGATTAATTAAGAAAATTAAGAAAATAACTGGCAGACTGATCAATCATGAAAATAACTATTAGTTGTAACCCCAATCGAAACATAATTTTAAATCCAAGTTTCTAACGCGTAATGAGGCGTGTGTCGCTTGTTTTGTTCTACTTTTATGATTCTTCTTATTGTAAGTTTTCAATTGATTGTTAGTGTTTTGTATCACTGCATGTGTCCGTATAAAAATAAGCATATATAAATTCTTGTACACAAAGTAAATGTCCACATGGTGATAGTAAAGCACGGCACACCTTTCTGTGAGGGTATTAAATGCACTCATCTTTAGTTTTGATTTCTGCTAAATGCCTGAAATCAAGGTACAGATGGGATTGAGCACACTGAAGCAAGAATATGACAAAAAGTCCTACAGTGTGTTTTGATGGAGATATGATCTGTGCCTGACCTGCTCTTACTAGTAATGGTTAATATATGCATTGTTGATATGCAAATTGAATTTGCAAAAGATTCTATGTAAGTGTGTGACTTAAGAATTTTATGATTACATGTGTTCTTAACATAGAAGAAGTTACACATGATCAGTGCTGCTTGCATGTCAAGGTGCACTCCAGAGAACACATTAACATTACGTGGCATTGGTACATATTGTAAGAAAGCTACAGTTTATATGTGACATGCATCAAACTGTGGTTTCAGACAAAAGTCTCTGTGAACTATGATGGCCAAGATTACTATATGACGGAAGTCTTGTACTGTTAATGTGTCCGTCGCAAGTTTGAACATGTACACCTGGGTCTGTTGCATAAAAGGGAGAGCAGTTTCAATGCATGCGTCTCCAGAGCAGACCATCCTCTTTGGAAGGTAATAAAGAGCTGAGGGTGGAGATTTCTGCAGATAGTCACCAAGATACGAAAACATACATGAGACAGCAGACATCCAGACATGTGTGATTTACACTGGTTATTACTAAACAACTGTAAATAAATCTCATCATCCTGCGCAACAGTAACATTTTCAACAGCGACGACACATCATGGCTGCATTAATCTGCTTAATTCAACACAGGACACACTGGTTGTTGTGCTCTTAAAAGCTAAAGACTGCAGTTCTACTGACACACACACCTGACCACTTTAGCCGAGGGAATCTGACCACTTTCGGAGGCTCCTACCAATTTGTAGGTCATAAAGCTCTCTGTGATCGCTGGTGTAAAGTGCAAGCCACTGCTACTTGCAGGTCAGTCTAGTATTAGACCACACACACATACACGCACACCTGCACCAGACACACACACACACATCACAGGAAAGCATTTCACCTCTGCACTTGGCTGGTTAGTAACCACACTTGAACACTTTTCTCTACATCTATACTGATTTTAACACTGCTGACATTCCTGACAAAAGCTCAGAGGAAGCTTCATGACGGAGCAAGCGCTTCAAATATTGATACTGTTTGTATCTCCCTGTACACTGCAGGTTTATTGGCTTGCCTACACGTGGAGCCCTGTATAGGGGGTTTAACTAGTACAGAATAGTTAGGAAGTTTGTCTGGGACTAGGAGGATCACACTGAAGATCCCCTCTCCCCTCCCCAAGAGGCCTTCAATGAAATTTTTATGTGTGGTGTGTGTATATGTGTGTTTTTGTGTGGACTGCAAAAGGGCCTGCGTGTGCGTGCAAGTGGCCCGTTGCATTATTAAAGCTAAGAAGCCAGCTCATTGAAAAGGGAGAGAAGTCTGAGGAAGAGGACAGAAGGAAGCAGCTAGAACAGTGGAGTACAGAGAGATGAGAAAAATTAGTTTTGACTGGAACATAACAGAGGGCATGGCCCATTTTTATAGAGGAAGAAACAGTAGGTGGTACAGAGGATCTGAGGAGCAGCTGGGTCGTGAGACACTATGAGAGGAAAAGAGCAGAGAGCGGGTTGTTTCTGACAGCCAGAATGTGAAATTATGGATAATGTGAGGTGAAATATATGAAAGGTAGCTCCTAGTTGTAGGGTGTATGGCCTGGTGACACCAAAGTTTTCCATCACATAGCCAGAATCACGCTTCACTTCTGATTTCTACACTGTCCCCATCCTTCATCATGCTGAAACACCATGTGAAGTGACCTCCTGACCTCCCTCTCTGTCACTCCCTCTTATGTTAAGTGCATGCATACACGTACCCCCATAGAGTGAGAAACCTCCTTGATGTACACACCTGACATCCTGCCTGAGGCTCCCAACAAAACCCCCTCTTCAAACATGGATGAGTCGGCCCACCATACCTCCCTCTCCTCAGCCTCTTTCTTTCTCTTCTGTCTCTCTCAACTCTGACGCAAAGCCGAGAGCAGCTGCTTCTGTCTGTCTCAATAATTCAACACTGAAAGCGAGGGATGAGGACTTTGAGACGCGGCAAAGGATGGGAAGTGAGAGTTGGGAGGCAGATGAAGACAGACATTAGGAGAGGGATGCATAAAGAATATAGGTAAGAACAGAGTGAGGTGTGATGAGACACCTGCTGATCTTCATGCAAACACATGGGGTCTGACAAGTCTGTCCCACTTCAGTTTCCCAACTTGCCGACTGGTCCAGTGAGTCAGAGAGTCAGCTTTTACTGGTGTTAAACCCATCCGCTCTGTGTAATAACACAGCAAGCTTTCAACCTGTGTGGAGGCTCTTACATCTTCTTTACCTTAATGTTAATCAACTACAATGTAACAGGAACCATCACAAACATTAAAGCAGCACCAGGCTTCAAAACAATTAGATCCAACAAAGTTTAATGAAAAGCACGGACAGGACTTAGTTGTCTTTGTTAACTGTGACTATTAGCAAAGGAAGTTCCCTGCAGATACTGGCTTCTATTTCAGAGGTTTGTGGGATTAATATTTAATTTGAAACTTCTGTAGGCTGTTAAGAGTGTTTGTAACCGTGTATCTCCTGAGCGAACAACAGGCATCGAGATACAGGCATGCAGACAAAGGGACTGGAGGACTAGAGCTCCACAAGCTGACGCCACCCAAGTTTTCTGACACAACCACCGCTGAAAAGCCAAAGCGAGGGTCTGCTACAAGATGGAGAAGCTATTAGGAGCAGTTCGTCCACAGCACAGCTCGGGGTGACTTGAGAAAATCTACACGGGCCACAAAAGTTATGAGGCGCAGCTCCCTTTGCACGCAGATCGCAGCCGTGGCTGTCCGCGGAGCGCATGGGTACAATGCAGCCAGCGCGCTCGCAGACACGGAATCAACGTGGAACAATGCTAGAACACGTTCCTGTGATATTTCCTAACAAAGCCCCAAACAGCTGTATTCTATTTTTTACCGGCTGCCTCATCAGGACTACACAAAAGCCAGCCAAGCTACAACGCACAGCGTCGCTCCAAAAAGCATTGTTCCTCACACTGGGGTGAGATGGAAGTAAGGTGGGATCCCCATCAGTGCTCCTCTCTCTCTCCCTCTCTCTCTCTCTCTCACACACACACAGACACACACTTCAGCCCTGAGAGCACATTTATGCATTATTACTGGGAAACACGTGCAGCAACACTCCCGCTTGTATGAGCGGTGCAACTTTAACAGTTTAAAGTACCGCTGTTTGTAGCAGACAGAGGAGTGAAACTAGCTAGCTGCTTGGGCTAACTTAGCAGTGGTGCCTGTGTAGTTGGAGGATGCCAGAAACAGCAATGCACACAAAGTGGCAAACACAACAAATACATAAACCAACACATTACTTTTGTGGCTTTGCGTGTTAATAAAACCAGCTTGTGTCTGCAGCTGCTGAGCTGACTGAGCGCCCTCACATCAGTTAGCAAGTTTAGCTTCCCAGCACACTCTTCTTGGCTGAATCTCTGTTGTGACAGTGCAGTAATATACTTACTTCTCTCTTGCTTGGCTATCGGAGGGGACCACAGCTCCTTTACCCTTGCCGTACATCTTGGAAGCTGTTCTGATACTTTATTTTATCCCACTCGACACCTGTCAGAGAAAGCTACCAGTAAAGCCCACTATCTCCATAGCTACCCAGTTACTGTTGTCTCCCTATCTCTCTCTTGCGCTCTCTTTGCTCCGGTTTCCTTTTTTTTCTACATCCCCAACATTGCCCACAAATCAGGCAAGGTTTCAGCCGGGGGAACTTGAAACAGTCCACTGGTGGAGCTTTTTTTTTTTTTTTTTTTTTCAATCGCTGTTCCTGGATTCAGCTCACGCCCCCCCTGTTGTGAGACGGTGGGGGCTTCTTAAAGCTACAGCGACTCACTTTTTGTCGACTTCGCACAAGTTCAAGTTCTTTTCTGAAGGCCTCAAACTTCAGGCCTTACAGTACATTTATGCTCATATACTGTAACAAATTGCTGATAATTGCTGTTACTGCTTTGAAGCAGTTATTTAACTGTGATGTGTTGCTCTATCCGAATGGTGCATTTCAATCATTTGTTTTTGTGCTATGTCACATCAGAGTGGTACTTAATAGGTCCAAATACACACAGGGGTTGGCTTATGTGTCGCAGTCCCCCAAGTGCCACTCCATTCAGCCCAGGTACCTGTATCTATAGTCTGTAGTCTGGGGCAACCATGAACCCTAACTAATTTTCACCTATGACCCTCAGAAAGACTGCATGTACCACTATCAAGTTATTAAGTTACCTGATTTCATATTGTAAAAAGGACTTGTCTTATTGGTTCACTTTTTATTTATTGCTATTAAATTTCTCAGTTTTTGTTCATCCTTGACTTGTGCTCAACTTTTTCTACATCCAGTTTTCATGCTTTCCTGGTGTGGCTCCAAAGATGCCTGTTAGAGCAGCATTTGTTGTCTTAATTTCAGTTTTAATGTAAAGATTTCATTTCGGTATAGCACTTTACATCACATTACCTTTATGGTCTTGTGTACAGCACTCATAATTTTGTACATCACTTCTCAACCAAACTGTAAACTGACCATTGGTTGAATAGAATGATGAGGGCCTTACACAATGTGTAAAAATGAGAAAATATCATGCCAAACTGTTGCATTTACTTCACAATTTCTTGTAATAAAATCAGTGGACTACACAAGCACAGTGTTCTTGCTTTCTTACCTCAGTGTTAAAAAAAATGAATTATTTAAATCTCAACATGTCAGCCACTCCCAAATTCCAACAAATGACCCTTTGTTCAGGTTTACTCTTCAAATACTTACTAGTGTTATGCTCATAGTTGCACAATCTTTTAATCAAGACTAGCTATTGCCCATACTCCCTTAATGTCCAGGTATGTTGCTGGCATTTGGCAGCAACATATAAGTCTATATCATGCCCCTTTAAGAGTGTGTAGAGGGAAGTTTGTGTGCGTATGTGTGTGTGTTTGCACATGTGTGTGTCTATGTGTGTAAGGCAGGGACAGGCAGTGTGTTCTGTTTTTGTGCTACTAGCTGCAGGAAGGGCATAGCTGACTGTTTGTGTGCACTTGTGCGCACGAGGGTGTACGTGTGCATGTGTGGAGACAAGCGCACATTCGTGTGTGTAAGAGAAAGAGAGTGGAAGATAGAGGAAATGCATTTTGTATGTGTGTGGCAAGGCTTGATTATTTTTTTTACACGAGTATACAAACACCTCATGATAAGCAGACATAGAATAAAAGAATAGAGAAATAATAGTGAGAAAATAAAGTACATGGGCGAGGAGCATTGTCTTTAGAAATGATAAGCATTCTCCTTGGTGAACTAGATCTATAGCAATACATATACAGTATATAGAAAAATGCAAGATGGAGTACTGTCACTTTACAAGTGATTTACTGTATATGTTAATATTTATGTAGCTGAATTATACATAAACTCATAAACACACACATGCAGAGCAAAACAAAATAAGAAAAACACCTTAGAATTTCCTTGACTTTCAGATTTTATTTTTTCTTTTTGTCGCTTCTGTTAAATCTGTTGTTTGTGAAATAATCACCAGTGGCCTGGTGATATTATGACCATTATTATTACTGTGCAGCCTTCTGTTCTCCATCATCACCTTTATGTGGTTTAATACAGACAAACTTACAATTTAATTGTTCTTATTTAGACTTTTGTTTGCATCTGTTGATAACTGGATGTGCACAAAACAGAGCATAAACACGTGTTAATAAGGCAACAGTCGTTCAAATCTCATGATCCCAAACTTCATCTGATAAAATATGAACACATGTCATTGCTTATGTCGTCATTGTACAAAATTGATATTTCCCCAATCTTCAAAAAATATCACTGATTCATCCACATTTCAAAACAACCTTAGTTTTTGGGTGTGGAAAAAGCTGCAGAGTTTAAACAGAGGACAAAAACGGTCAGGACAAAATTCATTTTCAAATTTAGAAAGAAAAGAGAAGGAGAAAGAGGTATGGGTGTCTTCTGAGCTTAGACCACAAACTCTGTCAGTGTCTCATCATAGCACCAGGACTGATCCAAAACCCCAGTGAGCCCCGAGAGCACTGGCTCTTCCTCTTTCGCACAAAATAAACACAAGCACTTTGCTTGTGTACTTTCTCTCTCTCTCTATTTGGTCATGGATAGATAAAGTATTTTGTCCACGTATAATTCCTGTTTGGAACCAACGTAATTATCCATCTTATGTTAACTATGTCAGTAATGTGGCCTATAACAGAAAATTGACCTTCAGTCTGCCATAAGCGATCCAATCACTGGCCAGTGGTACCACTCACAGCCACTTGTAAACTGCTTGTCCATCTGTCCATTCTCGTGAGTGCGATATTTCAGGAACGCCTTCAGGCTATTTCTTCAGATGTGGCACAAACTTCCACTTGAATTCTAGGATGAAGACAAAAACTGAACTCTAAGCGCTGTTCGTGGTGAACAGCGGGTGCTACCATCCCAGCAGCGAGACAGGGTGGTGGCAGCATTATGCAGTGTGGTGCTTCTCAGCAGCAGGGGCGTGGACCCTGGTCAGGACTGAAGGAGGGATGAAAGCAGCCAAGCACAGAGTGGTTTGAATACTTAGATTAGTTTGTGCTGAATTACATGAAATCTTAAGTCTTATTTGTTTTTCATTTGGGTTTCTGCACCTGGGAAACGCTGCCACCCAAACTTTCATTATCATCTCTCTTTCCATCCCTCTGTTACCTCTCACTCCATCTCACCTTATCACTTTCTTCTTCTTTCTCTGACCCACTTTCCTAACTTCTTACTACTTTCTCCTTTGGTTCTTCCTCGTGCACCCACATCCTTCGTCTCTGCCTCTTCCTCCTCCATTGCCGTCGTTCTTCTTCTTGTCTCCTGCTTACATTCATGGTTTTCCACCCTCATACTACTTGTTGTTTCTTCTGCTTGTTCTGACTCCACCCCTCTCTCCTCCATCTCTTCACCTCTTTCCACTTCCTTCATCACCTTCACTCTTCCTCTACTTTTCTCTCACCTTACTTGCACTCTTACACAGTCTCACCGAATATTTTTGTGGTCACCCTCTCTCCTTCCTGTCTCAGACTTTCTCTCCATCTCTGATTCTTACTCTCCATAAATCCTACTCTTTTTTTCTCATCCACTACCTTCTTCCTTTTTCCTCTCCCTTGTGCCCTTCTCCCTTGTCTTTCCACCTTGCCCCCCACCTCCTTCCACCATGAGTCATTCCGTGACTCTCTGTGCTCCCCTCACTACCTCACAGAGCCACTCAGGGCAGACATTCATCAGTGGCCTGAGATGATAGATGCTGCTCACCACAGCTCCAGCAGCCAGTTAGCCCGAGGTGATGCCTTATGCATACAGATATCACCCGGCTGGCTGTAGTCTACCGATTTAACCAGGATTGAATACACACAAATTCCCTCATGTTTACACACACACATATTGTACTGCCTGTTGTTTAAGACTGCCTCTGTGTGGACAGAAAAAGTTTGGTGCACTTTAATAAAGAGCATACAAGTGTGCATGCAATAGTACTGGAATGGATTATGAATGTGTGTACATGTGTGTGTGTATGTGTGTACTGGAGATCGTTAGGTATGTAAATTCCAGGGGAGTTAGGTTAATTGGCTCTGAAAAAGAGGTAGGTGTGTCTCTCTCCTCTATGACAGGCTTATTTACATAGCAAAGCTGTAATTACCCTAACGAAGCCCCCATCCTATCAGGGAGAGTATACACACACACACACACACACACACACATGTGCAATCTCCAAACAGGTTTCAGCTCAATCATGCCAAACCTGTATTTTTCATCACTCCAGAGCCCTCTCAGTTTCCATTCCATTCACATGTTCAGTTCTAATTGAATGGCATCCTTTGCAGTGCCAATCAGTCGGTTTGTTGGAATTTCCCTATTAGAGCTCATTGGCTTCTAAGCAAAATGTGGGACCCATCCCAGCACTTAGCAATCACTTCCTTCCTTCTCCACAACCATGTTCTTGATTCTTGTAAAAAAATAGAGCTTCCCGTTGAGCTATGGTTAATAGAGCAAAAATTATTTTCATAGTGTCATATCTATGTACATCAAAATTACAAAAAAGGTGTAAAAACAATATTGACATTTGGAGGAATCACTATCCATCAAAGCAGCTAAAAGTAAATTATAACTTATATTCCCTGCGTAGCAAAGAAGATCCAACCAGTTAGTTAACAGAACAAAGACAGAGAAGGGAATACCACAAACCTTTGCCAGTTTTTTGATTTGATTTTGATTTGATTTGATTTATTCTTTCAAACATGTAGAAACAAATGATATCAACACACACACATAATTTACACAAATCCAACCAATGCTAATCCAGAATCAGTTTGCTTATACCTAGTACATGTTTGAATGGAGTAGGAAGAAGTCAGACTTATCCAGTCCTACCCCATAACATCATCTTATTTCATGCATCATTGGCTGCAAGCAGTATCTCTACATAGGTAATTCTCTTCTTCACCAGACAAGTAATACACAGAAAATTTAAAACAGAGTGTTTCCTTCATGCATTCTTGATTAAATCTCTTATTCTTGCATGTATCTTGAATGACACATACATTTATATTTATATTTAAACTCCTCAATTCTAGTACTGTTTAAATAGTTTTTGAATTCCACCAGGTAATAAATTGTTCCTGGCTTTATACATAAACACAGCAGTCTTATATCCCACTAAATCAAAAATTTTTAACAATTTAGACTGTATGAAAGCTACATTGGTGTGATCCCTATACCCCATCTTATGCACAATTCTTATCGCTCTTATTTGTAATATATACAACGGTTGAAGTGAACTTTTGTATGTATTTCCCCAGTTTAAGTATGGTACTTTAAGTATGGTAAAATCAATGAAGAATACAAAATGCGTAGTGCTTTCCCGTCCAACATATATCTAACCCTTGCCAATATCGATATATTTTTTG